CAGCATTTAGCTTTGAGGACAATAACAAAAAAATGGGACATTATTAAAACACATACACAAATTCCGAAGGACCTTCTTCTAAAAGAATCAAGATATTTTATGTATGATAACAAGGTGTATGAAGAAAAAAGGACTTCCTATGGGATCTCCGGCGTCACCGATTATTGCGGATATCGTAATGGAGAAGTTATTGGACGCTACAATGGGAAAATTGATGACAAAACCAAAAATATTGATTAAATATGTTGACGACCTATTTTGTATTGTAAAGAAAACGGAAATTGACAATACTTTAAATGTTTTAAACTCCTATGATAGAAATGTGCAGTTTACCCTCGAAACCGAAGAACGAGGAAAGCTAGCATACTTGGACGCCCTTATAATCAGACAAGGCAATGAACTGATCTTTGATTGGTATCAAAAACCGACAGCTTCAGGACGACTTATCAACTATTATTCAAAACATCCAAGACGAATAAAAATAAATACAGCCGTAAATTTTATTAAAATGGTACATAGCATAAGCGACGAACGATTTCATCAAAAAAACGAACAGCGAATACGTAATGTCCTTCAAAACAACGACTTCCCGAAAAACACTATTGGCGATCTTATAAAAGGCGCAAAAAACAATAATAAAATCAAAACGAGGGATGCAATGGAAAAGTTATACAAGCCAGTTACATACAAACATGGACTTTCGGAGCGATTCTGCAAGTCCAATATTTATAATAATGACAAGTATCAATTAGCCTTTAAATCTAAGAATAACGTCAATTCTTTATTTAGCAACTCCTCCGAACTCGATCTAAATTTGATAATAATATTACGATGTACCAAGTTTAAACGGATGGAAGGACATCGCTAGATCGACTCGAAATGTTCTGATATGGATTTGGTCCAAAGAGACTTAGGGTCTCAAATCGTTATTTCGACTAGGCACTATTTGGCCGTATCAAATGATATATAAATTACAAGAACATCGAACATTTATATCCATTTTTATGCGAAATTTAATATTCCTATCAGGTTTCAAGTTAAGAAAAATATTTGGATATAGGAAGTTGTAAAAGAATCGCTGACTTGTTTTGCAAGTTATGACAGATAAACGTATTGAATATTGTGACCTTTGTGGGTGAGGTATCAGAAGGGGCGCGCATAATATCTCATCTTCACAACATATCTTGTGTTAGCAAAAAATGTTTGTCTGTGTGAAATTTGAAGACAGTTGGATGCTTATTTCGCTTTCTTTAAGCCTTTTTATACCCTACACCACAGGGTGGTCAGGGTATTATGTCTTTGTGCATTTGTTTGTAACAGGCAAAAGGAAACGAGATAGACCCATAGTTCCTTCTGATGATCTGCATAGAATCACATTCTGAGTCGATTTATGCATGTCCGTCCGTCCGTCTGTCCGTGTATATTTGTAAACAAAGTACAGTTCGCATTTATTGCCCTATCTAGATGAAATTTTGCAGAAATTATTTTTTTAGCCCAAGGACGAACCCTATTGAAATTGGAGATAATTGGTCAAAATTTAGATATAGCTCCCATATATATCTTCGTCCGATTTGCCTTTTATTGTCCACCAAACGTGTAATATCAGTCCGAATAGTATGGAGTACGATCAGATTGGACCTGAAAATAAGTATGCCAAATTTGATCGAAATCGGTTCAGATATAGCTATAGCTCCCATATATAATGTTCATCCGATTTGTTATTTTTGTCCTCCGCAGCCGTAATATGCACTCTGTAACAACAATATTTGGGGAAATATATCAAATACAGCTCAGAAATACCTTTGCTAAATTTTATCGAGATCGGTTCAGATTTGGATATAGCTCCCATATATAACTTCGTCCGATTTACCTTTGATTGTGCACCAAACGTCTAATATTTGCACAAATGGGATCAAATTTGGCACTTACGACCGAATTGAGTCTAGAAGCTAGTATGTCAAATTTGGTGAAGATCGGTTTAGATATAGTTATAGCTCCTTACATACTGTTCATCCGATTTGTCATATTTGTTATCCACAGCCGTAATATGCACTACGTAACAACGATATTCAGGGAAATATATCAAATTCAGCTCAGAAATATCTTTGCCAAATTTTATCGAGATCGGTTCCGATTTGGATATAGCTCCCATATATATTTTTATCTGATTTCAAAGTAATTTTGCACCAAATGGGCAATAGAAGTCCAAATTTAAAAGATACAAATGCTTCGGCATATTTAGTCCTTTGAATTTTAAATTATAATTATAATCATAGGGTGTATGATTAAATTCTCCCATAAAATCTTTTAATTGTTATGCGCAGCTCTACTAAATTAGCATCGGGGTGTAGGGTATCATAAAGTCGGCCCCGCCCGACTTTAAGACTTTCTTTACTGCTTTTTTTTCAAAATATTGAACCCTATGTGGGGGAGGCACCAGAAGAAGTGATCCGATTTCTACCATCTTTATAACAGATTTTGTGTTAATGGAAATATTGAGATGTACCAAATCTGAATGGAATCGGATGTTAATTTCGCGTTTTATGAGCTGTATTGATATTCAAGATCTGAAAACGTGGATTTTTAAAACAAATTATTTAAAGGACTATTATATCTGAAAAAGTGGATTTTTTTTAAACAAATTATTTAAAGGATTATTAGATCTGAAAACGTGGATTTTTAAACAAATTATTTAAAGGACTAGTAGATCTGAAAACGTGGATTTTTAAAACAAATTATTTAAAGGACTATTAGATCTGAAAAAGTGGATTTTTTTTAAACAAATTATTTAAAGGATTATTAGATCTGAAAACGTGGATTTTTAAACAAATTATTTAAAGGACTAGTAGATCTGAAAACGTGGATTTTTAAAACAAATTATGTAAAAGACTATTAGACCTGAAATGGAATCGGATGTTAATTTCGCATTTTTTGAGCTGTCTTGATATTCAACATTTTGACCATTTGTGGGGGAGGTACCAATAGGAGTGAACCGATATATCCCAACCAACACAGCAGATCTTGTGTTAGTAGAAATAATGGGATGTATGAAATATGAAGAGAACTGGATGCTCATTTTATGATCGTTTTGGTTGTTTTGACTTTGACCCTTTGTGGGGGAGGTACCACAAGGAATATTCCGATCTCTACCATCTTTACACCAGAAAATGGGTTGGTAAAAATATTGTGATGTGTTTAATTCGAAGACCATCGGACTCTTACATCAAATTTTATAAGAGTTACAATTTTTCAAAATTTTAATCATTTTCTCGGCTGACCTAGCACTGATGCAAATATTATGATTTGCAAAATTGGAGCAAAATCTGAGTATCTTTTCCATTTCTGTGCAGTATTTTTTATAAATTTTGACGATATGTGGGAAAGGTACCAGAAGGAGTGGACCAATATTGTCCATCTCCGAACTCGATCTAAATTTGATAATAATTTTACGATGTAGCAAGTTTGGACCGAATCGGATACTCCCTTCGAGAGTTGTTGTGCGCCCCAGCCAGCCAACCAGATAGACAGATAGATGGACAAATGGACATCGCTAGATCGACTCCAAATATCCCAAAGAGACTTATGGTCTAAAACCGTTATTTCGATGAGGCACGATTTGATAGTATCAAATGATATATATAATGTAGCCATATGACTGCGGGTATAAAAAGTCGAATGGTAATTTCCATTTGCATTTTCCTAAATGTTGCTGATTAGCAAAATCTCTACTACTTATTATAAGTATTAGTTAAGTACATATAATTTACTAATATTAAGCCAATTTATCCCTATTTTTCCATTACGGCTCTAACACAATACTTAAGCCATTTATCCATCCACTTTATTAAAACTAATTTAATTAAACTTATTCCTTTGCACAATATACATTGTCATTGGAAGTGGCCTTTAAGTGGAGATCCATTACGCCAGCCTGATTAAGAGTTGTAAAAGTTGTCAGTTTTAATTAGTTTCTTTCTTCCATTTTCTACTCCCTCAAAATTTTCTCAGGTTTAACTGGTGGTTGGACTATGCAAATTATTAAACTTCCGTCAAGGACTAGAATAAGTTCGCCTTTCTAACTCAACAATGTGTTTCTAATGGACTTTGCCTATGCATACGTATGTCAATTTCAGATTTTACGCCTCATTTCAGGTCATAATCTGAATTAACGTGGGCAATAACATGTTTATCTTAAAAATGTGATGCTCGACAATGTTTAATCGAGTGAAAATGTCCCAATGACAATGAGAATGGCTCAGCGAAATGTCTGCCGAGCACGTCTGGGTTGTTGAAATATTTATTACTTGGGGGGGTGCCATGGAGTGTGTGATTGATATTAAGAAGTCCTTTTTTGTAATAATGCGTATGCTTAATATGAATGGTAAAATCATAATGTAATGTATACGTATGGAATAATTGTTGCGTATAATCGAGTTACGATTATTATGTCTGTCGCATTAATTTTTGAATTATTCCACTAAGCTGAATGAATTCTCCGCAAAACTTAGAAAACTAATGACCGTAATTAAATTTGGCCAAAAAATGAAAAAAATCTTCTTCCTTCATACGTCAGCAGCCATTCCAAACCATAACCAAATTAATATAAGACGAAGAAGACACAATACGCCTCATGCCATGCTGGCAAATTCCACATTAATATTGACCGTCGACAAATAGTCCAACACTTGCTGATTGCTTTGTATGTTTTTCCGTTGTTCTTGCATTCAGACCTTGAAGCGTCACAGGAACTTGACATTGTTCTCGGATTCGAATAATTGGTTTTTTTTTCTCTATCACCATTGTTTAACTACTCACATGTCCGGCATTCATTTATTTGCCATTAACATTGCCATTTAAAGCTTTGTATTTTCATTTTATGTTCTTTGCTTGGTCATTTGTTGCGCCAATTCTAAGAAAATTGTGTTTTTTTCCGAAAATTAGTTGGAATACACTGTGAAAATATATTTAATTGCAAAAAAATATTTTCCTTATCTTTCCAGATTCAGCTGATAAAAATATTGAATTTAAAGAAAAGGTAAAAAACTTATTTACAATTAATTTGCTGAGATTATAATGAATTTAGGCATTATGATCGTTTATTATAAAATTAAAATATCTTTATAGTAAACCTGGAAAATATTAGCATTGCAGACGATGACAAGGTCTTCATACTTCAACATTGATTTTAAAATAAATTACTCAAAGGATTTCACGGCATAAAACGTGGATTTTTAAACAAATTATTTAAAGGACTCTTAGATCTAAAAACGTGGATTAAAAAAAAATATTTAAAGGACTATTAGATCTAAAAACGTGGATTTAAAAAAAAAAAATATTTAAATGTCTTCTAGACCTGAAAACGTGGATTTTTTAAACAAATTATTTGAAGAAATATTAGACCTGAAACGTGGATTTTAAAAAAAAACGTATTTAATAGACTATTAGACCTTAAATCGGGCATTTTTTAAACAAATTATTTATAAGACCATTAGACCTGAAAACGTGAATTTTTTTAACAAATTACTTAAAAGACTATTTGACCTGAAAACTTGTATTTTTTAAACAAATTATTTAAAGGACTATTAGACCTGAAAACGTGGATTTTTTAAACAAATTATTTAAAAGACAATTAGACCTGAGAATGTGGATTTTTTAACAAATTATTTAAAAGACTATTATACTTGAAAACGTGGATTTTTAAACAAATTATTCAAAGGACTATTAGACCTGAAAACATGGATTTTTTAAACAAATTATGTAAAATACTATTAGACCTGAAAACGTGGATTTTTAAACGAATTATTTAAAGGACTATTAGACCAGAAAACGTGCATTTTTTAAACAAATTATTTAAAGGAATGTTAGATCTGAAAACGTGGATATTTTAAATAAATTATTTAAAGGACTATTAGACCTGAAAACGTGGATTTCTTAAACAAATTATTTAAATGACTTTTAGACCTGAAAACGAGATTTTTTAAACAAATTATTTAAAGGACCATTAGATCTGAAAACGTGGATTTTTTAAACAAATTTTTTAAAGGTCTATTAGATTATTTAAAGGACTATTAGACCTGAAAACGTAGATTTTTTAAATAAATTATTTAAAGGACTATTAGACCTGAAAACGTGGATTTTTTAAACAAATTATTTAAAGGACTATTAGACCTGAAAACGTGAATTTTTTAAGCAAATGATCTGAAGAAATATTTGACCTGAAAACGTGAATTTTTTAAGCAAATGATTTGAGGAAATATTAGACCTTAAATCGGGCATTCTTTAAACAAATTATTTAAAGGACTGTTAGACCTGAAAACGTGAATTTTTTAAACAAATTATTTGAAGAAATATTGGACCTGAAACGTGGATTTAAATCGGGAATTTTTTAAACAAAATATTTAAAGGACAATTAGACCTGAAAACTTTAATTTTTTAACAAATTATTTAAAAGACTATCACAGCATAAAACGTGGATTTTTTTAAACAAATTATTTAAAGGACTATCACAGCATAAAACGTGGATTTTTTTAAACAAATTATATAAAGAACTATTAGACTAATAGACCTGAAAACGTCGATTTTTTAAACAAAATATTTAAAGGCCTATAAACCTGAAAACGTGGATTTTTTAAATAAATAATTCAAAGGACTTTCCCGAGAGAATTATGGGAGTCTACCCTAAAAAAACCGTACAAATTCTGATTTTTAATAATGACATACCCCGTGAAGTTGAAGAGTTCTTCACGGAAGACCTTGAAATGTCTTTAAAAAAACACAAATTTTACATAGAAGAAGTCTTTGAAGAGGTCTTCTTGAAATACCTTGAATACCTCTTCTAAGAAGACTTGAAAAGCTATTCTTGAAAGACCTTAATGAGATATTTATAAACCTAGGTCTTTATAGAAGACCTTGAATAGATCTAATAACCTACCTTGAATAGGTCTTATAAAAGACCTTGAGTAAGTTTCCTTTTGAATAGTTTTTCATAAAAGTGAAGAGTGTATCTTAAAAAACTTGAAGATATCTTCATAAAAGTTCTTAATGAGGACTTAATAGAATATCTTGTAGAGGCCTTCATTAATACCTAAAGAGTTTGTTCTAAAATGCTGTGAAGTGGACTTTATTAAAGGACTTAAAGATCTGACCATGATCTGGACAATAAAAGACCTCGAAGAATTCTTCAAATGACGTAGATAAGGTCTTCAAGGAAGACCTTAAATAGTTTTTCATTAAAGACTTTGAATATTTCTTAAGACCTTAATTGGTCATCATATACTACTTTGAAGATGTATTCATAGAATAACTTAAATAACTCTTTATGAATACCTTGAAAATGATCTGAAAAGATCTTCATAGAAGTCTTTAAAACGGATCTTCATAATTGACCTAGAATAGGTTATCATAAAATAAGACTTTGTAGTGGTCTTCATAAGAGACCTTTGAGAGATTTTCATGGAAAGCTTAGAATAGGTCCTCTTAGTAGTCTTCATAGAAAATTTTGAAGAGCCTTTTGCAGAAGACCTTTTTCTTAAAAGACCTTGCAGAAATCTTTATAAATGTCCCTGAAGTGGTCTGCATAAAATACCCCGAAGAAGTCTTCATTAAAGTCCTTAAAAGGTCTTAATAGAAGACATTGAAGAGATTCATAGAGAAGCTTAAAGAATCATCCATATTCCTAGATTCTACCAAACAAAATATCCCTCTCTGTGTAGCCTTTTATGTGTTGACCACCACAATATTTGCCGATGGCAAGGTAATTGATGTGACGCAAAAAAAAAAAAAATAATAATAAAATACTGGACCAAAATAATAGCAAACAATAATATAAGCAAATATCAAATAAACAAACTGAAGTATAATAGAAATAACCATAAATAAAGAAAATCAAGACCAGAAACTAAATAACGAAAACGAAGGTGGTGGGGAAGGAAAAGAAAATATCACAACGGCAATTACCAAAATGTCTGCCACAAAATGGGGGTATTAGTAACCTTCTTCCCTTTCTCCTTCTCCATTACAAATTGTTAGCAGAAAATTGACTTAACCAAAATATAATTGCAGGTTACGACCCATATTGTATGCCTCTGACATTGTCGTCGATAATTGATTATAATTCAATTTATAATTACACAAGTGTAGCGGTCAGAGGGAAGGGCGGCTGGCTAGCTGGCCATCCAGCCTACACGAAATATTTTACCAGTAATTAATTGTGATATCAATGCCATTTAAATAGTTGGTTCTGCGGTTTTGATTACAAAAGCATGCGGGCTTTATTTTCAATTCATTAAAATTTGGTTTTGTGTTCATTTTTTGTGATTTGGGGTTTTGCGTTCTGGTGGTGTGGATTTCATATTTTATGGCAGTCGATATTTCGATGCTATGTGGAGAAACGGGTTTTTACTTATTTGGTGTCTAGTGACGTATAATTAATGACATAATGTATACGCTTTGGGTTTTTTGGAGAGAGTTCAGTCCCCCTGATGAACACAAGAGAAACATCTGTCAAAATGATAAGGCGTGGGAAAAAATTAAGAAGTCTGCCTTTTTTATTTAGAGGTCCTGTGGGTGGTCTTCTATGTTGAATAATTACCACGGCTCTTTTATAGACAGAAATAATATGCAGAACTTTTGAAATATCTGCTATAGTTAGAACATTTGACCTATGAAAAAGATTTAATATATTTCTTCAAAACATAGAAAATCTGCCACGGAATTAATGTTATATGGAACATGGAACATACAGGGTGAGATAAAAATAAACTGCAACAAAGTCAAACTCCTTAATTTTTACATTTTTTTAAATGCAAGCAAGAAATGTCGGAAATAGCATCAAATTTTAGGATAAGTTTAGATTTGTTCGAATTGGTCACCTTTGGCTCTTTTGAGTCTATTTTCTTTCTGTTGCGGTGTAAGTTCTTGCACTTTTCGGAATTTCAATGGCTTTACCCCGAGCTCATTTTTCAATATTCTTCGAATGGAATATTGCGATATCTTCATCTCACGAGCCATATTTCCGTCACTACGACGCGGGTTTCGATCAAGTCGCTTCTTTACTTTTCGAACCATTTCTGCTGGTGTTGCTCTTTTCTTCCGTCCACTTCCTTGACGTCGGGCTACGCTACCAGTATCACGGTAACGAGCGATGGTACGAGGCACAAAATTATAATAATTGTAACAGCTGTCGGACGAGTGGCTTCGAAATGACAGCAGTCTGAAGTTGGTTGCATTTTTTTCATTTCACCCTGTAGTTAGAACATTTGGTCCATGATTTTATATATTTCTTCAAAACATAAGAATATCTTGCACTAAATTAAGTCATCTTGCAATATGGACCATATTGGTATCCCGTAGAAAGGGGAACTTCGAAAATGGATATAAGGATATCAAGGGGCCTACAATTATAATAAAATAACACCAAAATGCGTTTTTTAGCCACACTTTTATTACCTATTAATTTAAGAGCCAAAATTTAAGAGCTTTAAGTTTTCTTGTCTTCTATTCATTTCATGAATAGCGTCTGTACAACCACTTCAAGATTAAGAATGAAAGTACCAACACCCACTTAATGATAACAAGTATCATTTAAATTTAAGTAACAGTTTTCCCAAAAAGAACATTCTACTGAGTGAGTTCTCCACTTCCTGCCTCTTCCCCTACGGGTTGTCTTCTGGTTGGTGGTGTGTGCAATCAAATGTAAAGATATTCGCAAAACTGCTGTCATTTCAAATGATTCAAATCAATAGATAAGATTGCAAGTAGAAATGGAGAGAAAAGCGAGGAAAAAACGAACATTGATAACCCAATGAAAATTTAAGGATTTGCCAAGACAAGGATCTTGTGGAATATTTTTTGGAGTATTAAAAATTTTTTAAATTTAATAAAAAATATATTTATATTTTTTTATAAAAATAGAGTCCTCTAAATAATTTGTTTAAAAAAATTCACGTTTTCGGGACTGGTAGTCCTTTAAATAATTTGTTTAAAAAAATTCACGTTTTCGGGACTGGTAGTCCTTTAAATAATTTGTTTAAAAAAATCCACGTTTTCGGGACCGATAGGCCTTTAAATAATTTGTTTAAAAAAATCCACGTTTTCGGGACTGATAGGCCTTTAAATAATTTGTTTAAAAAATCTACGTTTTCAGGACTGATGGTCCTTTTAATAATTTGTTTGAAAAATCCACGTATTCAGGACTGATAGTCCTTTTAATAATTTGTTTAAAAAATCCACGTTTTCAGGACTGACAGTCCTTTATGTAATTTGTTTAAAAATCCACGTTTTCGGGACCTATAGGCCTTTAAATAATTTGTTTAAAAATCCACGTTTTCGGGAGCGATATGCCTTTAAATATTTGTTTGAAAAAATCCACGTTTTTGGGAGCGATATGCCATTAAATATTTGTTTAAAAAAATCCACGTTTTCGGGACCGATATGCCTTTAAATAATTTGTTTAAAAAATCCACGTTTTCGGGACCGATAGGCCTTTAAATAATTTCTTTAAAAAATCTACGACTTATAGTCCTTTAAATAATTTGTTTAAAAATCCACGTTTTCAGGACTGATAATCCTTTAAATAATTTGTTTAAAAATCCACGTTTTCAGGACTGATAATCCTTTAAATAATTTGTTTAAAAATCCACGTTTTCGGGACCGATAGGCCTTTAAATAATTTGTTTAAAAAATCCACTTTTTCGGGACCGATAGGCATTTAAATAATTTGTTTAAAAAATCCACGTTTTCGGGACCGATAGGCATTTAAATAATTTGTTTCAAAAATCCACGTTTTCAGGACTGATAGTCCTTTAAATAATTTGTTAAAGAAATCCACCTTTTCGGGAGTGTCAGTCCTTTAAATAATTTGTTTAGAAAATTCACGTTTTCGGGACTGTTAGTCCTTTAAATAATTTGTTTAAAAATCAATCTTTTCGGGACTATTAGTCCTTTAAGTAACTTGTTTAAAAAATCCACGTTTTCGGGACTGTTAATCCTTTAAATAATTTGTTAAAAAATCCACGTTTTCGGGACTGTTAGTCCGTTAAATAATTTGTTGAAGAAATCCAACTTTTCGGGACTGTTAGGCCTTTAAATAATTTGTTTAAAAAAATCCACATTTTCGGTACCGATAGGCCTTTAAATAATTTGTTTAAAAAATCCACGTTATCGGGACCGATAGGCCTTTAAATAATTTGTTGAAAAAAAATCCACGTTTTCGGGACCGATAGGCCTTTAAATATTTTTTTTAAAAATTCCACGTTATCGGGACCGATAGGCCTTTAAATAATTTGTTGAAAAAAAATCCACGTTTTCGGGACCGATAGGCCTTTAAATAATTTGTTTAAAAAATCCACGTTTTCGGGACCGATAGGCCTTAAAATAATTTGTTTAAAAATTCCACGTTTTCGGGACCGATAGGCCTTTAAATAATTTGTTTAAAAAATCCACGTTTTCGGGACTGATAGGCCTTTAAATAATTTGTTTAAAAAAATCACGTTTTCGGGACCGATAGGCCTTTAAATAATTTGTTTAAAAAATCCACATTTCCGGAACCGATAGGCCTTTAAATAATTTTATTTAAAAAATCCACGTTTTCGGGACCGATAGGCCTTTAAATAATTTGTTTAAAAAAATCCACGTTTTCGGGACCGATAGGCCTTTAAATAATTTGTTTAAAAAATCCACGTTTTCGGGACCGATAGGCCTTAAAATAATTTGTTTAAAAAAATCACGTTTTCGGGACCGATAGGCCTTTAAATAATTTGTTTAAAAAATCCATGTTTTCGGGACCGATAGGCCTTTAAATAATTTGTTTAAAAAATCCACGTTTTCGGGACTATTAGTCCTTTAAATAATTTGTTTAAAAAATCCACGTTTCGGGACTGTTAGTTCTTTAAATAATTTGTTTAAAAAATCCACGTTTTCTGGACTGTTAGTCCTTTAAGTAATTTGTTAAAGAAATCCACCTTTAAATAATTTGTTTAAAAAATCCACATTTTCAGGACTGTTAGGCTTAAATAATTTGTTAAAGAAATCCACCTTTAAATAACTTGTTTAAAAAATCCACGTTTTCGGGGCTGTTAGTCCTTCAAATAATTTGTGGGACTGTTAGTCCTTTAAATAATTTGCGTAAAAAATTCACGTTTTCGGGACTGTTAGTCCTTTAAATATTTTTTAAAAAATCCACGTTTTCGGGACTGTTTGTCCTTTAAATAATTTGTTTAAAAAATCTACGTTTCAGCACTAATAATCTTTTAAATAATTTGTTTAAAAAATCTGCGTTTTCCGGACTGAAAAATTTTTTTTAAAAAATCCACATTTTCAGGTCTGATAGCTCCTTAAATAATTTGTTTAAAAAATCCATGTTTTCAGGTCCCACAATCCTTTAAATATTTTTTGTAAATCCAAGTTTTATGGCCTGATAGTCCTTCAAATCCACGTTTTTAATTTAAAAACGAAATCTTTATATTTCTTTATTTTCTCTTCAAAAAATGTTATCACAAAAACAGTTTTTTTTTTTCAATAAATTTCACATTTCTTTGCCGGATTCATTTTACTACCCACAGGACAATTAAATTCCTTGGCAAACTCCTCGAAATTCGATAGGGGCCCAAGAACTCTAAACTTATCCGGAACATGGATATCGATAGCCATCAGCGTGGTGCGAAGTTTTGAATAGAAATCCGAACACCAAAGATAACCATAACTAGTAAAGAATAGCTGGCGATAATTGAAATCCATCCCAGAGAAATTCTCTAATTTTTTATCCCCTTCGGCAGTATTGTCGTACCAATTCAAATAGGCGTTGTAGGCCAATCGAACCCCACTATTATCGGCTATGTTTTCATCTTGATTTGGCATTTCCGATAAATTCTGTCCGCCATAAACGAAATCCTTGTACTGATGAATCAAACATTCGGAACGTTTTTTGAACAGCTTATTGGAATTCTCATCCCACCATTTGCGATGATTGCCAATTGCATCAAAGGTTCGACCTTCGCCATCAAAGCCATGAATAAGTTCGTGGGAGAGTAGCGAGCCCAGGACACCAAAATTAAAGGCATTCGGAAATGAGGCTGACCAGGCGTAGCTGGGTTGCAGCATGGCCACGGGAACCTTGATGGCATTTTCCACATAAATATAGGACGGTGTGGTGGAAAGCGTCTCCCCATAATCGTTTTCTCTAGCCATCTCGCCCAAATGCCTACGATCATAGATAGCTTGGGCCGATAAGATTTTCTGGAGATTACCCAAATAATCCTCGGCCTTGAAGTCCAAAGGATCCATAATTTCAGAGAAATTGGTATCCTTGAAGGAGATAATATCCAATCGCATTCTCTTCAACTTCTCCAAGGCATATTGCCGAGTTTCCTCCGACAACCAATTCAAATGAGAAGACTGTAACTGTTTCTGGAATGCGGCCTTGATGTGGGACCACATGTCCTGCACGCCCTGCTCCGTTTCCCGGCTGTTGTATTTGCGATAGACCATGTTGTCGAAATTTTTATAAAAATATTTTTTCATGCGTGTCAGACAGGTCTCTTCCAGTTCCTCTTTGGTTTCTGGTATGTCCATAATGAAGCCATTGGCCAGGCGATAGAAAATATAATTGGCCAAGACCTTGGGCGGTGTGGTCTTTATAGCCTCAAACATATTGGCCAAATAGTCATCGTCGGTGTAGATTTTCAAATTCGGCAATGTGCCCACGGCCAATTCGACAAAACGTTTCACATCAAATTGAGGGGCAAATTTCTCCTGGGCCTCATCCAAGCTATGCAAAACATACGTCTCACTCAACTTATCTCCAGCGTGTTGATCAAACATGGCCTGGGCCAAGGACCTTTCAAATTTCAAAAATTCCGTTGCCGTTTTTAAAGCCACATCCTCCTCTATGCCCAGAAATTCACTTAATCTGCCAGCATAAGCCGGAGGCATTCGCTCAGCAATCACATCCCCCTTTTCTCCCACATACAACTCGCGTGGCAAATCGAAATCCTGTTCCGAAACATACATACGGTTCAGGGTATTGTTCACAAAATCTGTGGAGAATTCAAATTTCACCAAAATTGACAAGCCATATTGGTGGACAATTTTAGCCACCACCTCAAGCCAATCGAAGTCCGACTCCTTCCACTTGTCCTCACCCACCAACGCGGGCATTTCACCAAATTCTTTAATGATCTCCTTCAGCTTTGCAGGGTATTTATCTTTCAAATCAGCAACCTGCAAACACGACCGATAGAATCGCTTAACTTTCTTATCAGCATCGTTCTCATCTTTATTGTCACTTTCAAGAATCGTTTTAATTTTCTCGTCCAATCTACTTTGCAGCGTTTCCAGCATCCCAGTACCCGGCTCATCCAAAGTGGCCGGATGGTAGGTGGCATAATTACCACAAACATAATCGTAGAAATCCTCACAGGGATCCACGGACTTATTGAAATACTTTTGTAATTCCTCAACTTTTGCTTGTCTCTCAGCAGCATCTTTGATAACCGGGGAGCTGTGTATTCGCCACACACAAAGGATCAGCAATAAGTAGGGCGAAATAAAACGAATCTCCATTGCGCTTTTCTAATCTGTTTAGCTTGAAATGAAATTCTTAACTGAATTCCACTCGCAAATGGATTCTGTGAGAACACATCTTTATCAGCTGATTAGAACTGCACTTTGGTAGATTTTTTTATTCACCATTGCAAGACCTTGTCCGATATTTCAGTGACCCGAAAGTTTAGCTTTAATTTGATTGACTGTCATTTGTTTGTTCGGCATAAAGTGGTGATACGAAATTTACATAAGATTATTCGTTTTGTTTGTTTTAAATTCAGATGTTTTGAAATGGAAATTTTGCATCTGCCCTGGAGGTCTCATCAGATAGCACTGAACGACAAAAATGTTGAGGAGAATACGAATTGCTATAAAGTGACTAAAACGTCTTTTATAAAAACGGCAAAAGGCTTCTAGAAGAAGAAGACTTCAAGATTTCAAAGCCTTCTATGAGAAGACCTGAAGACCTCATGGTTTGCTTTAAGAAGACGTCAAGGTCTTTTATGAGAAGATCTAAAAGTCTTCTATGAGAATAACTCAGAGGTGACTTGAGAAAAGGCCAGGCTTTTTATGTTGATTGTTGTTGTTGGTCTTCTTTTGAAAGTCTTTTCTGAAAAGAGTTTAATACCTTTTATGGGAAGACCTAATGACCTACGATAATGGGAAGACCCAATGGTCTTGAGGGAGAAGAGCTCAACCTTTAATGTAAAAAGATCTCTACCTATTTCGTGACAGGACCTAAGATTTTTTACCGATGAGAGCTTTTACGAGAAGAGTCTCTTCTAGGAGAAGAGTTCTGCCTCTTCTGGAAGAAAAGCTCAATTTCTTCTATGATAAGAGCTCAGCCCCTTCTCGGAGAAGGGCTCTTCCTCTTCTGTGAAACGAGCTCACACTCTTCTATGAGAAGAGTTCAGACTCTTCTATGAGAAGAGTTCAGACTCTTCTATGAGAAGACCTTAGACTCTTCTATGAGAAGATCTCAACCTTTTCTATGAGAAGAGCTCCTCCTCTATGTGAAGAGCTGATCATTTTTTAGGAGAAGAGTTCTGCCACCTCTATGAGAAGAGCTCAACCTCTTCTAAGAGAAAAGCTCAGCCTCCTCTAAGATAAGAGCTCAGCCTCTTCAATGGGAAGAGCTCAGCTTCTTCTATGAGAAGAGTTCAGACTCTTCTATGAGAAGTCTTCAGACTCTTCTATGAGAAGACCTTAGACTCTTCTATGAGAAGATCTCAACCATTTCTATGAGAAGAGCTCCTCCTCTATGTGAAGAGCTGAGCATTTTTTTAGGAGAAGAGTTCTGCCACCTCTATGAGAAGAGCTCAACCTCTTCAAAGAGAAAAGCTCAGGCTCTTCTAAGATAAGAGCTCATCCTCTTCAATGAGAAGAGCTCAGCTTCTTCTATGAGAAGAGTTCAGACTCTTTTATGAGAAGAGCTCAGCCTCTTCTATGAGAAGAGCCCAAGAGGCTTCTCCTATGAGTCCCTTCTCTGAGAAGGGCTTCGCCTCTTCTGTGAGAAGAGCACAGTATCTTCTAAGTCAAGACATCAACCTCGGCTGAAAAAAGCTGAGCCTCTTCTATGAGAAGAGCTGAGCCTCTTTGATGGGAGGCTTGGCTCTGCTGCGAGACATCCAAGCCTTTTTTGTGAGAAGAGCTCAACCGCCTTCATGAAAAGGGCTCAGCCTCGTTTGTAAGAAGTGCTTCGTTTATTTTGTGAAAAGAGCTCAACCTCTTTTGTGAGAAGAGCACAGCCTCTTCTTTAAAAATGTTTTAGAAGAAAAAATCTTGGCATCTTCTGAAGGTGCTAAGCGTCATTTACAGGGTTGCCCATATTCGACGGACCCATCTGGCAACGCCATAACTTTTGACAAAGATGTCACATCGCTTAATGACATACCGCGTTTGAAGCGTCAGTCCAAGCAGATTTTTACCATGAACCAAAACACGCCACGCGAGCGCTCTGAAATAGTTGAAATTTACTAGAACTCAATTGTGAAAACTCAACGTGCTTTTAAAACATTAAAAAATGTGAGAAGTGCGCCTTCTAAGAACACCGTTAAGCGTTTATACGAAAAATTTTCGACTGGTAAGGCTCTTTACATTATAAAAAAGTCAACCAAGGCGATCGGCCGAGAATATCGCTGCCGTACGAGCCAGTGTTGAGAGGTCCCCAAGAACATACCAAAAACGCCGTTCTCAGCAGTTGGACATGGCTCGGTCCACTTTACAACGGATTATTCGCATTGATTTGCATTTGTTCCCGTACAAAATTCAATTGACGCAAAGAATGTTGCCTGCGGACAAGCCTCGTCGATTGGAATGTGCCCAAAGGTCCGTCGAATATGGGCAACACTGTATTAGAAGAACTTATGACCTCATTTGAGAAGACCTTGATGAGAAGAGACAGTTCATTCTCGACTTTTCAAGTCATTTTATCTCAGAGAACTCTCAAGTTATCCTTTCGGCCATCATTCATCGAAAATTCAGCTTTTGTATTGTAGTACAGTGTACATATTTTGTAAAATTAAATCGATAAGGTAGTTTTCGATGCTTATTATAACCTAACATAATGAAGATTAAATTTTGCTTAGGCCAGCAGCGGCATATGTCCAACAGAATACATTGTTTTTAGAGGTTAATTATGCTTGTTAAGAGTAGATTTAATGAAACCAGGGCTGGGAAGACAAGTTAATTCTAAATAGACACCGATTTTACAAAAAAAAAAAATCTTTTTTTTTAATTTTATATCGCACTCTCCATTTATCATTGACGTGAATATGTTAGTATTAACAACTTAAATAAATAAATAATAATAAATTAAATAATAATTTTAATTTCATTGCTATTATTTTCTCATCATTTGTTTGGAAGGGGTATTGCACAACCTGTATACACTCTTGTGAAAAAAAAAAACGAAAAAAAATAAATATTTCTTAAACTCCGTGAACTGATACAGGGACATAGCTTGTGGGGGGTTGATAAAGCCTATTATAACTACTATGTTTGTACCTCTTTATCATTTCTGCAGAAAATGCCTCAGATTATTAACGGGAGTGCAAGCAGGCTTACAATTTCAAGGCTACGTAAATAATTACTGGACTTTCCCCAACTTTTGCGATACAATAATTACAACAAACACACATTATATTACAAAATAAAAAGTGACAATATGCTGATTAAAATCGATTATATAATCCGCATGTATGTATGTATGAGCGTACAATAATTTGCGTAGGAATAGGTTCACGAATTTTGATAAGAAATTGTTATTGACACAAGAAGTCAATAAACAACAATTAATGATTTCGAAAAGAAATAATATTTTTAGCATCAGTTTTGTGTGTGTGTGAGTGTGCTTTTTTCGGGAGGGGTTCAAAATCTCAAAAAAAAAAAAATAAATAATAATAATAATAATAATAACTTATCAGTATTAAGCGTAGTTTGCAAACTTTCTATACACAGTGGACTCTCCTTAAGTTAAATAACTAAAACGTATATGAAGAATTTTAATTGATTCTCTAATGGACAAATTTTTATACCCTCCACCAAAAAAGTACCCACCCACATTTTTCATCGGAATTGTCTGAAAATCCACACAAGGAGTTCCTTGTAAGTACTTTACACGCAGACATGGATTTGTCTTTATAGGTCCACAATATCGTATATCCCCCCATATATTGGCACCTTCCTTTATTAGATATTTTAAAGATATTAAAAGAATTTTTAATGGATTTTATTTTTTTTTTAATTTTTTTAGTTCGAGGTAGGAGCCACTTATATATATTCATTTAAAAAAACACAATTTCCATAATTAAGTATTTCAACAATTTTTCTAAGCTCTATCTTTAATACTTTTCGTCTTTTAATGAGATTATAGAATGGGCCATTAAATAATGGTGTTTTGCTTTACTGCCTCAGTACCTTCACCTTAACATAGAATTTGCTGGGAGAGTTTCATCTTCCCGAGAAACCAAAAGATCTGCTCCATGAAAGGTCCATAAAAATTGGCAACATATCTGATTTATTTTTCTACAAACCGAAATTAGCCCTCTTTTTACGATTTTTTAAACCCTCAGCCGAATGGCTAGAGAAGGTATATATCATTTGATTCCTCCAAAACGTGTCTTATCAAAATAACGGTTTTAGACCCTAGCTCTCTTTGGACCAAATTCGTTTTAGGACATTTGGAGTCGATCTAGGGATGTCCGTCCGTCACTCTGTCTGGCTGGTGCGCCCGTAGGGAGTATCCGGTTTGATCCAAACTTGGTACATCATAGTATTATGGTAAAACTTAGATCGAGTTCGGAGATGAGCAATATCGGCCAACTTCCTCTGGTACCTTCCCCAAAAAAATTGGAAATTTTCAGAGAAAATATTTTACTGCACAGAAAGATTTGGCGATTTTACGATTTTGCTCCAACTTTGCAAATCCCAACATCAATTCTAGGTAAGGTGCGAAAATAGACAATGTCGGTCCACTCCATCAAGTACCTCAGCCACAATATTTTAAATAATTATAACACTTATAAAATATGATGTAAGATTCGGATTGTCTTCAAATTACCCACATCAAAATTTTTTTTAACCCACGATCTGGTGTGAAGATGGAATATATCGGGTCACTCCCTTTTGAATATCTATGAAGCTGATAAAACGCAAAATTAATACCCGATTCCATTCAAACTTCGCATATCCCAACATTTTTTATCAACACAAGATCTGTCAAAATTTTTAGTAACCAAAAATTTTATAAAATCCGAAATAAGCATCCGGTTCTCTTCAAATTTCATACACCATTATTTTTACTGCTATGAAAATGGGATACATCGTCGAATTCTTTCTGATACTTCCCCCACAAAGGGTTCAAAATTTTGAAATACAAAACGCTCATAAAACACGAAATAAGCATGAATGAAAGCAAAAAATGTCGGAAATAAAATCAAATCTTAGAATAGTTCGAATTGGTCACCTTTGGCACGAATTATGGCCTTCAAAGGGTCAATGAAACCGTCACACGCTGCCCGAATGTTGCTCTGCTGTATTTTGACCCATTCCCGGCTCTGTCAAAACTTTTAGTAACCAATAAGATCATAAAATCCGAAATAAGCATTCGGTTCTCTTCCAATTTCATACACCATTATTTTTACTGCTATGAAAATGGGATACATCGGCGAATTCTTTCTGATACTTTCCCCACAAAGGGTTCAAAATTTTGAAATACAAAACGCTCATAAAACGCGAAATAAGCATGAATGAAAGCAAAAAATGTCGGAAATAGAATCAAATTTTAGAATAGTTCGAATTGGTCACCTTTGGCACTAATTATGGCCTTCAAATGGTCAATGAAACCGTCACATGCTGTCCGAATGTTGCTCTGCGGTATCTTGGTCCATTCCCGGCGACGCGATGGCTTGAGGTGATCAACGCTTTGGAATTTTTTAGTGCCAACCTTGCTTCCCAAAATACTCCAGACATAATAGTCCAACCCATTTATATCCGGAGATTTTGGTGGCCATTGTGCGCTGGAAATGAAGCGAGGAACCTCATTTTGTAACCATTCTTGGGTGGCGGGTGCTGAGTGCGATGGTGCTGAGTCCTGTTGGAATGTCCAAGGTCTGCGGCCAAAATTTTTGCGTGCCCAAGGCTTTAATACATCCTCCAGAATATTTTCTCATTTATTCTTATGCCACGGTCGATTAATACGAGCGGAGAGCGACCATCGGCTGTTTTGGCGGCCCACACCATCACCATGGCTGGCGCTTGAGTTCTGGTGGCCAACCGAAGGTGCATATTTTCAGCTGACCTCTTTAGCAAATAAACACGATCATTTTGTTTGTTTATAAACTGCAGAAGGTGGTGAACCTTAGGGCAAGCGAAGCAACTCTTTAGTTCTTTTGAGTCAATTTTCTTTCTGTTGCGGTGTAAGTTCTTGCACTTTTTGGAATTTCAATGGCTTTATCCCGAGCTCATTTTTTAATATTTTCCGAATGGAATATTGCGATTTGTTCAGCTCACGAACCATTTTTCGGCTACTGCGACGCGGGTTTCGATCAAGTCGCTTCTTTACTTTTCGAATCATATCTGCTGATATAGCTGTTTTCTTCCGTACACTTCCTTGACGTCAGGCTACGATACCGATTTCACGGTAACAAGCGATGGTACGAGGCACAAAATATTTATTCACATTTAAATGCTGGAGTGCTCTAACTATAGCCCCTTGTGATTTTCCAGCCAAATCTAAAGAAATCACACTATCACGCTTTTTTCTATAAAATTCTCACAATTCTCGGCTAATTTTGATTTTTAACATATTTTTTAAGCTGTTTCATTTACTGTGGCCTACCTGTAATTCAGCTGATAATAATGAATGAATACAAGCTGATATTGGGATTTTCAGATCAATAGATTTAGTATCAAAATTTACAGCAAAGTGAGAAGGACGTTTAGAAAAAGCAATACAATTAAAAATAAAAATTGAAAATAATTAAAAGGTTTACACGTGGAAAACAAATGTTGAGAATTTGGTGGAAATATTTATTTACCTTCGTTTTGAGTTTTAACTATGCTCATGCGGCCCTCATCACGGCCACCACCACCAGCAACGAAGATGTGAAATTGGATTTAAAACAAATACTGCGTTTGAATAAAACCAAAGAAATGAAAAGTTATTTGAATGAGTCATCGGATCCGTGTGACAATTTTTACGACTTTGTCTGTGGAAATTTTGGGATGACGGAAAATGATGTGGGGTCGGCCACAATGCCAAACATTAATTCATTGATGGGAAAATTTAATGATTTGTTGCGAAATGAATTGGAAGTGGAGAAGGGTGAGGGTGAGGCTGAGAAATCGGATAATTTGGTGGATAGAAAATTGAAGCAGTTCTACAGATCCTGTATTAATATGATGACCCAGAAGGATGCTTGTGTTGCCAGCCGCAGGGAGTTTATTAAGAATTTCGGCAAAATGCCAGCCTTGTTGGGAGATAATTGGATGGAGAATGAATTTGATTGGTCCACTGCCATTGCTGAGATTGCTTACAAAACCGGAGAATCGATTATCTTACGCCTGGGTACAATGACCGATTTTCTGGACAACTCCCAGAATCGTGTGGCCATAATGGAACAGGAATTTGACGTGCCAGCCGTCCATTTATATAACAACAAAGAATATGCGGACTATAAAATTGATTATTGCTTGACAGTTTCGTTATATTTGCAGAGCATGCTGGGCTTGGAAGAGGATCGGGCCAATGAGGTGGCAGAGAAAATTGTTGATTTTGAAATTGAACTTAGCCAAGGAAAAATCGATAAACATTTGGGTTTACAAAACAGTGAAATCTATATAAATCTTATACCGCTCGAAGAACTTTCTGCCAGGTATGGGGGAGACCTCAATGTCACCCATCTGCTACAGACGGCCCTGGACTATGTACCCACAGAGCTGTATGTTAATCAGAAATATTTGGAAACAGTTTTGAAGGTCATACGCAGCACACCCAAAGCGGTGGTGGCCAATTATATTTACTACAAATACTACTCCACATTGGAGCTGCCCTATTTCGAGGAGTTGGAAGTGATGAGGATCATGTGTGTCAGCACACTCCAGCAGCGTTTTTACAAACAATTGGACAACATGTTTTATCGTAAATACATTACGGAGGACATGAAACCCTCGGTGGAATTCATGTGGCATGAACTAAAGACGGCCTTTCGCCAACAACTTCTCTCCCCCAAACTCCAATGGATGGCTGAGAGTACTCGTAAATATGCCTTGGAAAAACTGGAAGCAATGCGTTTCACCATACTCTCTTTTGAGGCGAATAATTTTACCCAGGAATTTGCGCAACTGCATTTGAGCGACACCAACTATTTGGAAAACCTTTTGGCTCTGCAAAACCTAAAAAGCAATTTGACAAGGGCTGCCATATATGCCCCACCCCAACCCGATGATGATGGCTATGCTGCCTCCTATGTACCCTCCTACTCGCCCATTGAAAATTTACTTAAAATTCCCGTCAGTTTCGTCTACCAATATCACCTGTATGCTTCGGCCTATCCGAATGCCCTGAACTTTGGCACTCTGGGCGTATATATAGGCCATGAGATGTTGCATGGCTTCGATGATGCCGGGCGCAAATATGATGCCAAGGGTAACAGTCACAACTGGTGGCAGCCGCACTGCACGGCGGAGTTTCAAAAGCGCACCTCTTGTTTTGTTCAACAATATCATCGCTACACTCTGCCAGATGGCAAACATTTGCCGGTGATGCAGTTGCAAGCAGAAAATATTTCAGATAATGGTGGCATTCGTGCTGCCTTCACTGCCTACCGGCAATGGTATGAGGGTGCGAAGAAACAGGACCCTCAAGTGGAGTCAAATGAACTCTTAGCGGGTCTTAATTACACCAATGACCAATTGTTCTTCATTAGCTATGGCCAGTCATGGTGTTCGACATATGAACCCACCTATTATTCGACCATTGATGCCGTCCATGTACCGTCGAAATTTCGGGTCTTAGGTCCTCTATCGAATCTGCAAGAGTTCGCCACGGCATTCAATTGTCCCTTGGGTACGAATATGAATCCTGTAGATAAATGTGAAATATATTAAGAACTGTTAAATGTTGTAGTTATTTATTTAAAATAAGTATTTTTTTTTGTTTATAAATGTGTTTTATGCCGATGTTCGATTATTTAAATATATTTTGACTTCTGTAATGATTATTCAAACTGGTGACCCTCTATGGAGTAGGTTCTGAAGGAATGGGTCAAATTTGTTCATTTCGTATGGGCCTTTTTAAATAAATAAGATATAAATATGTGAGTGACCGAAGTCGACCCAAGTATTGCATTTTCACACTTCATCTTATACAGATAAAAATATTGATATGGGCGAAATTACAAGAAAATCAAATATTTATATCCAATTTTATTTCGAAATCATAAATTCCATTTTCATCTCCGGTTTCTGGTTAAGAGAAATATTTAGATATAGCAAGTTGTAAAGAAAATCTGCTGTGAAGATAATATATATCTGCAAACCCATTCTGGTACCTCATCCACAAAGGGTCACAATTTTCAGTACTTTTATCTGTCATAACTTGCGAAATCGCTGCGCTGAGATAAAAATACTGCAAATTGTCACCCTTTGTGGATGAGGTACCAGAATGGTTTTGTAGATATATATCATCTTCACAACAGATCTTATGTTAGCAAACCTGTTTGTATGTTTGAAATCTGAAGGTAGTTAGATGCTTACTTCGCTTTCTTTGAGCATTTTGTTTTTAAAAATTGTGAACCCTATGTGGTGGCGGTACAAGAAGGAATGGTCCGATCTCTAGCTTCTTTAAAAGAGACCTTGAGTTGACAGAAATATTGAGATGTACCAAATATGAATGGAATCGGATGTTAATTTCGCGTTTTATGATCTTTATGGATATGTGGGGTGGGGGGTGGGGGGTGTACCGGAAGGAGTGGACCAACAAATCCCATCTTCACATCAGAACTTGTGTTGGTAGAAATAATGGGATGTGTGAAATAAAAGAATATTTCGCGTTTTATGACCTTCGTGGATATTCAAAATTTTGACCCTGTCTAGGGGAGGTACCAGAAGGAATGGTCCGATTTTACCGGTTTTATAACATATCCTGTGTTGATGGAAATATTCAGAGGTGCCAAGTCTAAATGGAATCGGATGTTAATTTCGCGTTTTATGAAATTCATGGATATTTAAAGTTTTGAACCTTTGTGTGGAAGGTAACAGAGGGAGTGGACCGATATATTCCAGCCTAACACCAGATCTTGGTTTTTTAAAATATTGGTATGTGTGAAATTTTAAGACAATCGGATTCTTACATCACAGTTATAATTATTAAAAATTTTGACCCTTTGTGGGGGAAGCATTTGATGGAGTGGACCGATATAATCCATTTTTGCACCTTACCTATCACTGACGGAAATGTTAGGATTTGCAAAGTTGGAGCAAAATCGGATTATTTTTTCTCTATCTGGGGAAGATTTTTTTTTTAATTTTCGACCTTTTTTTAAGGAGGTACCAGAAGGAGCGGACCGATGTATTCCATCTTAACACCAGACCTTGGATTTACAAAAATATTGGGATGTGTTAAATTTGAAGGCAATCGGACTCTTATCACATTTAATAAAAGATATAATTATTCAAAATTTTGACCCTTTGTGCGAGGGTAGTTTATGGAGATGACCGATGACCTGACCTGGCTCTGATGCAAATATTAGGATTTGCAAAGTTGGAGTAAAATCGAAAATTTTCCGAACCCGATCTAAGTTTGACAACAGACAGACGGATGGACGGACATACCTAACTCGACTCCAAATATCACGAAACAACTTCTGTCCAAAGGGTCTAACCGTTGTTTTGATGAGGCACGTTTTAGCCGTATCCAATGATATATAGGGTGAGATAAAAAACTGCAACAAAGTCAAACGCCATAACTTTTACATTTTTTTTTAAATTTTATTGAATGGAAGCAAAAATGTCGGAAACAGCATCAAATTTTAGAATAAGTTTAGATTTGTTCGAATTGGTGACCTCTGGCACGAATTATGGCCTTCAAACGGCCAATGAAACCGTCACACGTTGCCCGTTTGTTGCCCTGCAGTATTTTGGCCAATTCCCGCCGAAGCGCTTGCTTGAGGTGATCGACATTTTGGTATTTGTAAGTGCCAACGTTGCTTTCCAAAATTATCCAGACACAATAGTCGAACGGAAATGAAGGAGGAACCTCATTTGTAGCCATTTGTGGGTATAGCTTGCTGTGTGCGATGGTGCTGATTCTTCGTGGAATGTCCAAGGTCTGCGGCTAAAATGTTTGCGTGCCCAAGGCTTTAATACACCCTCTATAATATTTTCGCGATAATATTCGTTATTTATTCTGATGCCACGTTATTTATTCTGATGCCCATGGTCTGCGCTTGAGTTCTGGTGGCTAACCGAAAGTTCACATTTTCAGCTGACTTTTGGCAAGTAAATATGATCATCATTCTCATCCGAGAAAACTAAATTCGGCGGTTAACAACTTTCGGCCAAGCGATGCAAGTCTTTAGTTCTTTTGAGTCTATTTTCTTTCTGTAGCGGTATAAGTTCTTGCACTTTTTGAAATTTCAATGGCTTTACCCCGAGCTCATTTTTTTAATATTTGTCGAATGAAATATTACTTGAAGTCGGGCTACGCTACCAGTAACACGGTAACGAGCGATAGTACGAGACACAAAATATTTATTGGCATTTAAATGCTGAAGTGCTCTAACGATAGCCACTTGTGGTTTTCCAGCCACATCACACTATCAAGTTTGAATTCCATCACGAATGACTTTTTTCTGGAAATTTCTCTCCAAAATGCTTTTGTACGCTTGTAAACATAATACTGAGCTGTCACTGGAATAATTTTAACAGCTGTTGGACGAATGAGTTAGAAATGACAGCAGTCTGAAGTTGGTTGCAGTTTTTTCATGTCATCCTATATCTCATATATACCTTCTGTAGCCATATGGCTGAGGGTAAAATTATACATATTGTAAACAATATTATAAATTTATTATTTTTATAATTTTAAATTATGAAATATGATCTTCTTTTAGTTCAAACGATTTAAAAATACAACAATCAAAAAGTATGAAATAAGGTATAAATCGGTCGGCATCATACTACAGTTGATATTTACGACTGTGACCACAAGCGTGAACTTGTTTTGACATTTTTATTTATTCATCCACTTTTTTTTTGTTAATTATACATTTCTCTCATTTGTATGATAATTAATACAATTTAAAAATTATTAGGCGGCAAAAAGAAATGAATATGTTAATTATTCATTATTAAGCTGTAGTTTGGAGTTAATGTAAATATTTTTTAAGAGCATGACATGACTTTGGGGGGTAAGAGAGATAGCATCAATGTGGGTTATTTCAATCAAAAAATTTTACATGAAATATTTTTAAAGTGATAACTGGAATTAGAAATAAAGAACAACTAACGAGAAACATTGGACAAAGATAGGAACGGATACAAGTGATGTTGTTAGATTAGGAGAAATACCTTCGTTTTTTTCGCATTCTCTTCTATTGTTTATTGTTATATATCACAACATTGTTGGGTAATATAAATGTAAACAAAGTCTCTATTCTCTATTAAAAATATTCAATATTTTATATTTTTATAGAATTGAGCGAATAAACGTAAGCTCTCTCAAAGCATGAGGGATATCTATACCTTTATTTCTCTATGCCATTGGCTTCTCTTTAACTAAGGTGTCCCAATACATAAATGCAAAAACTTGTAGAACAACAAATTATGAACATCAAATAACTCAATTGTTAAAGCTATGATTTGTGTTTCGACTTTATTTCGTCCCACTTCGCTGTGACCCATTCCAATACACATTGTCATTTGAGCAGTATGGGTAGTGTTAATAAGCTTAACTGTTATCTCATTAATTGTTTCATTTCCGATTAATGGATTTTGATTGTTCATTGAGTGGTTTTCGATGAAAACGAAATTCGTTCATTTGAATTATGTAAAATTGTTTTAATTACTCAGAAGCAATAACCCCTTCAAAACGACCAGTTATTAATTGACGTTGAGCACTATCAACAGATTTCTCAAATGGAGATTTTTGAAATTGTAATGTTACAAAAGGGGAGACAACGAGAAAATTTTAACATTATAAGAAAGCAGTTTTGTATTTATACCCTACATCACATAGTGGCAAGGGTATTATGTTTTTGTGCATTTCTTAGTAACATGCAGAAGGAAGCGAGGTAGACCCATAGTTACTTTTGAGGATCTTCATAGAATCACTTTCTGAGTCGATTTATGCATATCAGTCCGTCCATGTATTTTTGAGAACAAAATGCAGCTCGCACTTATTATCCGATTGAGATGAAACTTTGCAAACAACATTTGTTTGGCCCAAGGACGAACACTGGTGATAATCGGATCAGATTTAGATATAGCTCCCATATATTTTCAACCGATTTCTTATATTTTTATACGTCGAAATGACCCGTATTTTGGTACATCCCACCGAATTCTTTCTAGAAGCAAGTAAATCAAATTTGGAGAAAATCGGTTCAGATATAGCTATAGCTCCTAAATATATATATATTTCATCCGATTTGCGGTTTAAAGACCCCCACATGCGTAATAGGCACTCCAGAAGAATGATATTTGGTGCCGGACATCAGATACTACTCGAAAATACCTTTGTCAAATTTTATCGAGATCGGTTCAGATTATCCTAATCTGAATAATTATCCTAATAGCTTCCGATATCAGGTTTATTGTCCACCAACTGGCTAATATCAGCCCAAATGAACTGAATTTTGACAATTACGACTGAATTCATAATATAAAATTTGGTGTAAATCGGTTCAGATATAGCTATAGCTCCCATATATATGTTTCATCCGATTTGCGATTTTAAGTAGCTCACAAGCGTAATATGCGTTTCACAACAATGATCTTTGGTACCAGATATCAGATACAGCTCTGAAATAAGTGTATCAAATTTTGTCAAGATCGGTTCAGATTTGGATGTAGCTCTCATATATATCCTCAACCGATTTAGAGTTAATTTTGTACCAAAGTGTCAATATCAGTCCAAATGACTTGAATTTTGGCATATCCGATCGAATTCAATCCGGAAGTAAGTACATTAAATTTGGAGAAAATCGGTTCAGATATAGCTATAACT